TAGGTTTCCAAGACATTCCAAGAGCTCTAGTTATGTTTTCATTATTAGCCTTTAAATCCATTTCTTCTGCACATTGAGCTAACTGAGGGCAGTTAAAACTCCATTTCGTTAATTGTGGACCAGACTCTTGCATAATTTCAGCTTTTTTGGCTGAAAGTTCTAAAATATTTGCTGCCCCCGTAAACAGATCGTCTACATACAGATTGATTGGGGCCAAAACGGGAGTTACTTATTTGGAGCTGAACTGGTTCCAAGGTGCTGTCTGTTAACAAACTGTCTCCGTCAATTGTTTCTTTATAGTTGCGGCAGGTCAGGGCCAAATGAGTCTTCACACACTGGCTTAAGTAAAACAACCCTTATTTTTGTTTTTAGTTGTTAGCCTTTTGTTAGGTTTTTTTTTTAATTTAGTTTTGACTTATTTTAATATAATTTTATATTTTAAGTATTTTACACTTAATTTCTTTCACTTTTTTGTTAATTTCTCTTATTTTATCTATTTGAGTCCACTTGTTTTTAAAGGCCGCCAGAAAAGTAATGTGTCAAGCTTTTTTACATAGTGAGCAACGCAAACTCACCACACTGAAGTGGGGAGTTGCCATACAGTGTAATATTAGGAGGGATTTTACACAAAGGCCAAATATAATTTAAAGCACTTGAAAGACACAAACATACCGCCCACCTTGCGACGGCAGTGCAAAATATAGTATAAAATATATAAAAAATAAAATTACAGTTTTATTGTTTCATAAAGAACAAAAAATTAACACTTTCATTTCATTAAAATTACTTATAATATAAACAACAAATAATTATTTGAGATCAATTCAATTAATGTTAAGGTAATATACTATATTATTATTTCTTATGCAAATTTAATAGTTTAAGATAACAATAACTAAATAGAAAATTAGAAATTATAATCCAATATTATAAGGGCAACAAATATATACAAAAATAAATAAAAAATATATATAAAATGAAAAATAATACATCAGCCTTCGAGTACAACAAATTTTTTTTATTTTTATTTTTAGGCTCTTTTCACACCTTCCCCAATATAAGCTATGCCGAAAATTGTGTTTTGGGCATATAGTTGTCCTCGGCATCTTATTGCAGGCCCAATCAAGACTTTGCTCATGACGTCAGCTCCAAGTATGAGTTTGTAAGGGCTACTGATATGTCAATGTACGTTGGCGTTGGCGCGATCTACAGTTATTGGACGTGGGTATTTATCTGCTCTTTCCACGTTGACAATAGGGCTTAGGCCATAGCACTTGTTATCTACAACGCATTCAACAGTTATGCGCCGTTTCTCCTCGCGACTATGGTAGACTGTAATGTTAGTACGTCCTTGAGAAATCTGAAACCCCAACTCAATAGCTTCGCTTTTCAAAATGGCGGACTTGGCCGCGGTCGGGTCAATAAGAGCCTTTATAAAAACGTTAGTAGAATGACGAGTAACTACGCGTACCGTCGCTGTCATGGGAAACCAAATACTGCCTTGCGGCAAAGGGTGTAGCAAGGTATTGTGGTCCTGCATACAGCGGCGGCACCGGTCTATACTTTTACATTCTGCAGGACTATGCGACTGGGACAAGCAGTTGTAGCATAGTAAATACTGGGCAATGACTCGAAGCTTAAGCTCCACGGGCTTCACAATGAACCGAGAGAATTGGCGGATGGCGTGATGTCTGTTACAAAGTGGGCAACAAAAATCTGTATTGAAATCCATATCTTGACCTGGAAGTTTAATTGAGCAACGTTATTATGGAAAAGGTGATAATGAATTATTAATTAGTGCAATTAGGGAGTAGAACTGATTTATGTATCGGACGTGTAATAATGCCACTTAGAGTTTTGAGGTCAGCTACCCGTACTTTACCATCAGAACCATGATAAACTTTTACTATACGACCTAAGCGCCATTCAGTTGGACAACAAGGCTCACTTTTAAGAACAACGAGGTCATTTTCTTTTAAGTCTATTTGGAGACTTTTCCATGTATTACTTGTGCAACTCTTTTAAATATTCGTCTTTCCAGCGGTGACAAATTTCTTGCTGCAATGCTTTGATTTTTCGCCAACGGTTTACTATACTAATTGGCGAGCTAAGCTCTTGAGGTTCAGCAGGAGTAAGAATAGCAGAGCCTATTAAAAAATAACCAGGAGTAAGAGCGGACAAATCATCGATACTGTCGGACGTAGGGCCAAGAGGACGCGAATTGAGACACGATTCTATCTTTGCCAAAAGTGTCGAAAACTCTTCAAACGTATATTTCATTTTTTCCTGCTGACTTTTTAAAGTGCATTTTCAAACTTTTTACTCCTGCCTCCCACAGTCCTCCCATATGAGGAGCTGCTGCAGGAATAAAGTGCCACTCAAGATGTTGATGACCATATTTTTCTACTGCCGAATCACGTAATTCTTCTATATGTTTTTCGAAGTTATTTTCAAGTTCTCTTGCAGCGCCAACAAAATTTCTTCCATTATCAGAGAAAATGCGACTAGGGCAACCACAACGAGCAACAAATCGAGCCAAAGTTGCTAGAAATGCAGGAGTGGACAAATCGCTAACGGCCTCAATGTGAATCGCCTTAGTAGAGAAACAAACAAATAGACACACGTAGCCTTTAGTGATACGGCAATATCGACCAGTGAAACTTTTGATTTCAAATGGGCCGGCAAAATCAACACCTGTGTTAGTAAAAGGGCGACTTAAAGTAGTTCTTTCTTCAGGTATATCTGTAGATCTATATAACGCAGATTTTACAGTTGTGGATGACCGTTTTTATTAGATTTTTAGCCTTTATAATCCAACACTCCTGACGTACGACATTTAGGACTAAACGAGGGCCTCCATGTAAGACCATATTGTGGACAAACTCAACGTAAAGTCGTGCTAATCTAATAGTATATGCAAGTATTACGGGATGTCGTTCATTGTATGACAAACATTTTGTAGAGCCAAGGCGACCATTCGCACGAATAATACCGTTTTTATCTAAGAAAGGCGTGAGCGACAAATGTTTCAAATTCTAAAGGACCTTCGGGCCAAGACGATTTATTCAATCTGAGCCAATCAGGACCATGCCACCAAAGTTAATTTTCTCTTAATTGCGAAGGTATCAGCTCCCACATTTTCTAATATTGTAGATACTCTGTTTGCCACAAAAGCTTTCCAATTGCAAGGCGGTTTTCGCAACCAAGCAAGAACTATCGTAGAATCGGACCACAAATATAAATTATACGTTTTTAGATTGAAATTTGGGATTATACTATTTACTAAATTGGCCAAAAGAACTGCGCCACATAACATAAAAGATGGCCTTTTAACTGGAGCCACTTTTGTTTTGCCAATAAGTAGATTTACATGAACATGATCGCCATTTACAATACGTATATATAATGTGGCAGCGTACGCTAACTCAGAACAGTCACAAAACCATGAAATTCAATAGAAGAACTAGACGAATATTGAACCCAACGTTTAAGTTTAATTGTATCGATCTCATTATAATTAGAAATAAATGTCTTCTATTTTTGTAGAGAGAGGTTTTATATATTCATCCCAGTCTATTTTGTCGAGCCACATTTGCTGCATCAAAATTTTAGCAGTTATAATCACTGGGGCTAACCAACCTGCTGGATCAAATAGCCTTGCTATAATTGAGAGTACTTTTCGTTTCGTATAAGCAGTTTTAAACTTAATCTTCTCAGTTGTAAAGTAAAAATAGTCTTCTGCCGCATTCCAACGGACACCAAGAGTTTTAGCATTGCTCTTATCATCGAGCGACAAAAAGGAAGAGTTAAGATGATGCTCTTGGGGCAAATTTTTTAAAATTTGTTTAGAGTTTGAGGCCCATTTTCGCAACTCAAACCCAGCTGTACCCAATATACCAATTAATTGGTCTCGTGCCTCCAAAGCGTCAGCGATCGAATGTGCTCCTACTAGAGCATCATCAACATACATTGACACCCGCAGAATTCTAGAGCCTAGCGGAAAACAACGTTCTTCATCATCAGCTAACTGTAAAAGCGTTCTAAGAGCCAAAAATGGGGCACAGTTAACGCCAAAAGTAACGGTGTTTAATTGAAAATCTTTAACTTGGTTTTCCCTAGATCTACGAAAAACTATCTTCTGGTACTGTCTATGTTCAGCTTTTAGTAAAATTTGTCGATACATATTCGATATATCTGCATTAAAGACAAACTGAAAAAACCGCCATTTTAGAATTAGGACTACTAAATCAGCTTGTAATATAGGGCCTACAAACAGTAAATCGTTAAGACTGTTACCATTAGAAGAAGCGCTTGAAGCGTTAAAAACAATTCTTAACTTTGTAGTGGTACTGTCAGGCTTAAAAAATCCATGATGAGGTAAATAATAACTTGAGCTACTTTCAGAATTTTTAATTTTCTCCATATGTCCCAATGCTATGTATTCTTTTAGGACCTCATCATATTGAGCCTTAAATTCAGGATTTCACATTAAAACCTTTTCATTTCTCAAAAATTGGCTAAGAGCAATATGACGATTTGGGCCAAGTGACGAAAAAGTGTCTTTAAAGCAGCGTTGCGCGTTCATATTGTTCAAATTATGAAGATTTTCGGCAATTCACACGTACACTACCCGATCGTAAACAAAACTAATAGCAAGAGCGTAAAAATACAAAAAATTATCTTCAGTTGCTTAACAGCATTCAACAATGTAGGTTGATGTCGCTTTGTTTCAAAAATTGCAAAAACAATTTGTAAAAACAACAACACAATTTGTAAACAAGAGAATTACTTGCATAAAACTCGTACACTCCAAAACAATTTTACTAATGCATAAGAATGAAAACACATAAAAACAGTATTTATAATACTTTTTTTTACACATTTTAAATAAAAAACTTTATCTGTAAAATTTACTATTTTCCTTGTTATGAAATTTGATCATAACAAGCGTTAATTACGGCAATATTTTTTCTAAGTGTTTTGTTAGTATTTTCTCACCACTACAATAACAGTTTCTTCGAGTCTCTCTTTCTGCGCTTGGCTGCTTTAAAGGGCAAACAAACAATATATCTTCCCTCAGAACTTCTTGTGGTAGTAGAACGATAGATCTCTTCACATTTTTTATCCTCTTCTGATAAAATCTTTCTACGAGGAACTTCTTCTAACTCCCAAAACTTTGCTAACTGATCGTCAATGGAAACTTTTGTCATATAATTAGTTCTTGCACATCGTGAGATATCAGTACTTGGTGTTGGGCCTGTTACAATCCAGCCGAAAATTGTCTCTTGGGTCACTAAAGATCCAAAAATTCCATGTTGAACTCCATCACGAAGAATCAGGGGATACAAATCACCAACTAACAATAAGTCTATTTCACTACTTTCATAAAATTTAGGGTCAGCATAGTTCAGATTTGGTTTAAATGAATGCGAAGGTACATTTATTGTTACACGAGGAACTACTAAAGCTTGAATATTTAGAGATGCATTTAAATCAAATAGGGAAACAATTACAAAGTTAGCCATCTTTGAAGATTTGCTTACTACTTCTCCTCCTAGACCAGTAATTTCTGCGGACACTGGCTTAGTGGGCAACTTTAATACCTTTTGTATTCTCTGAGAAACAAAAGTTTCATCCGAACAAAGATCTATAAGAGCACGAACTTTGTAATAAGAACCACAACTAAGTATATTGACCCATGCTGTAGCTAACATTACTTTCTTTGCAATTGAAGTGTGATGTGACTGAACAACACCAGATGGACCTGCGGCATTAGTGGACTATAATTGGTTTGTATTTGTGGACTGTATTTGTTGGACAGAATTATTTTGACTTTCACCCTGATTTCTAGAATTACTTTGATTTTGGATATTATTATTTTTCTTTACAAAATCTCTGTGCATTAAAGTATGGTGTTTTCTTTGCACTTAGAGCAACCATTTGGACTACTACAATCACCATACATATGTCCTATACTAAGGCAATTAAAACAATAACGAAATCTTTTTAAAGTTGAAACACGATTTTTACAATCCATAGCCAAAAACTTGTGACAAGAACTTATGGCTTTCTTTGCATAATTTGCAATAAATCGTTTCAACCTTAGTATTATGAGACTTAAATTGTTTGACTTTGGTTGATGTATGGTTATTGTTACTATTGAATCCTGATTGGGAACCACTGGGATGCTTATTATTTATCGCTATATCAGTGAGAAAATTATTTAATTCTTCCCACTTGGGAACCTCTGTTTTGTTCTTGACTGATTGTTCCCATAGATTAAGTAAACATTCTGAGAGCCGTGATGAACATTGAAATACAAAAATTGGGTCCCATGAATCAATGTTGACATTATAGAGCTTTAGAATTGCTATACAGTTATTTATTTCCCTTTGAAGTCTCTTAATTTCACAAGCCGATTCTTGTTGGCAAGGAGCTAAATTAAAGAGCAACTTCAATTGACTATTAATCAAAACTCGTTTATTTTCATATTGAATCTTTAAATTGTTCCAAGCTATTTCGAAATTTTCTGCTGTTAGGGCTACATTTCTATTAATATCCCTAGCTTCACCATCAGTTTTTCTGAACAAGTAAAATAATTTTTCTACAGGGCTAAGTCTTGTGTTGTGTAATGGTTTCATTCAAAAGTTTGATAACTTATAGTGGCAGATGTTATTTAGAACATTTTTAATGTGAAAGACAGAATTCAAAGGTGGTATAAGTTCTCTAAAACGATTATGTTTATTAAATATCAACATGTTTAATTTAGGTTGTTTCAGGTTGCGTTTCGCACGTTCTAGCTGAGCTAACTAGTTCGGTAGTAGTGGGCGGGGATCTTGGTCCTGAGTTTAACCTTGCCTATGCATTACAAACCAAAAAAATATAACGTGCGAATAATATGCCCTTATTGTCTATTACACTATCACTTAATCAATTTTTCCTCATTAAAGCTTAGGTGTTATAGCTTTGAACCTCTTTACCCACCCATCCTAGGTTTTTCGTAGGTTGGAAGTTTAGTAATGAAAAACCCCAAACACACTAGATTCTACCAAAGGCCGTTACAGTTTTACCACGAAAAAAAAACTTAATTCATTTTATAATCTCATAATTATATATATATATATATATATATAAAATATAATATTAAATCAAAATGGGTTATGGGATGAAAATAAAAATCAAAACAAAAAAACTTACATAAAGTTTTATCCAACGCTGCATGTAGAAGGCCTCCTGCATACTTGTTGTTGTTTTTGCAGATCGATAATTTTGGTGGAGATTTTCTTCTTTTTGTTTTGTTAATTTGTTATAATAAATTAGGGTTAGCCATAAGGTATTAAGTTTAGGGAAATTTCATAACTAATTATTATGGTAATATCGTAGTTAGTTAAACTTGAAATTGTCTTAATATTGGTGATGTTAAATATAATGTTTAATATAATAAGTGCAATATTAGATCAGATTTAGGTACAATTTTCTTTGTTTTTTTTTTTTTTTTTTTGTAGGATTATAAGTAAATATTTGAATAAACTGTGTAAAGGTGATTTTAAATTTTACATTAAATTTAATGCAAGAACATAATTAGTTTTAATAGTTAATTAGTTTTAATAAGAAGGACCAATGATTGGGGCCAAAACGGGAGTTACCTCTTTGGAGCTGAACTGGTTCCAAGGTGCTGTCTGTTAACAAACTGTTTCAATTGTTTCTTTATAGTTGCGGCAGGTCAGGGCCAAATGAGTCTTCACACACTGGCTTTAGTAAAACAACCCTTATTTTTGTTTTTAGTTGTTAGCCTTTTGTTAGGTTTTTATTTAATTTAGTTTTGACTTATTTTAATATAATTTTATATTTTAATTATTTTACACTTTATTTCTTTACACTTTTTTGTTAATTTCTCTTATTTTATCTATTTGTGTCCACTTGTTTTTAAAGGCCGCCAGAAAAGTAATGAATGTGTCAAGCTTTTTTACATAGTGAGCAACGCAAACTCACCACACTGAAGTGGGGAGTTGCCATACAGTGTAATATTAGGAAGGATTTTACACAAATTCTAGCATTTGAAGTCGACACTTAATTATTGTATAATCAGATGATGTCCCTTCTTTTTCTACCTTTGACTTCAATTTGCTAATATTCCGTTTCATTGTACTTCGTTGTACCTTTAACGATGCTAAATCCAAATTTGCTGGCTTTATTGTGCTAATTTGTGGTTCTTGGTCTTCCATTAATAAAATTGCACCAAATTGTACATAAAAATAACAAAGGCACTACGTTAACAAAAAATGTACCGAACGATATAAAAAAGTTCAACACTGATGCGTAGTCCAACACTGATAATCCCTGCCAGCAAATTTGAGTTTAATTTTGGATACATGAACTGAATAGTCACTATAAAGGCTCAATTTTATGTTTCTCAGTGCTAAGTTAAAAAATTTACAAAAACAAAATACAGTACTTTCTAATTTTGATCATAATTTTGTTAAATTTTAGTGCGTTTTAATATAGCAAAAGCAAAATTAAATGATAATAAGTAGATAGAATAAAAATTTCAAAAACTAACACTTTTTAATACACTAAGAAGATAGTTTAATGCAGAATCATTCTTGCTCTCAAAATTCAGAAGGAAAAGTGTTTGCACATTTCAGTAAATATATTTATTTCATTGTGATCAGTTGTGTGATATATTGTGAAATTTAGATTTTGTAATAAATTGTGTTAATTTAAAATTTAATATATCTAAAACATAGTTTAATATAAAATAAGCATCAGTGAGAGATTAGTGAGTGCAAAACAGTATAATAAAGGAGAAATAAAAAAAAATTATTATAAAGTCGCTTTTATAACATAAAAGAGTATAAAATCATAACACTTTCCAGCTTCTCTATTGTTATGGCAAAACTGGAAATTTACTACATTTACGAAATTTTATGTTATAAAAAAGTGACTTGAAACTGAAACGAAATGGCACATCAAGTAAGTATTAAACAGGCGGAACAGTTTCTTCCGAACGGGGTCACTTTTCATTCACTCAGATTATATCAAATTAGATTGTTTTAAACATTAAGCTGTAACGTTATGGTAACAATTTGGATAGAAATTGTTGGCAGGGATAATCAATATACATATGTGTATGTACAGCAGACATACGCGAAGAGCCACCTTAAGAGCTCTCTGGTTTTCCCTCATTAATACGTACGTACTACATTCTCTTAATTTTGAAGTTTTTTTGATTGAAATACACACAGAGAAATATCTGATGTTAAACATGAAGATATAAGTTCCTGTTTGGCGAATTTTATTTTTTCTGAGTGAATGTGATAAATAATGGAAATTTTAAAAAAGTTTAATTATCGACATAAACTCCCAAACAAATGAATTATCCGGTGCTATGTTATTTCCAAAAATATAAGCCGATTTTAGTCAATGTCCTGATAATATTTTCACCTAATTGACATATAGACCATCCATAGAGTGCAAAACATCTATTATTTTTTAAATTTCATAAAATCTTACATTATTTATTTAGTTTTAACCGCACGGAGTAAATATTATACACATCATATTACATATATTCATACAAAATTTTAAGTTTTTTGTCATTTTATATAGAGTATACTGTAAAGTAGTACACCATACAACACTAAAAAATGTTACAAACTTTTCTTTCAGTGCAAAGAATGCAAAAACAAAAACTGAAGTGGTGTTATTGAGCCAAGAAAATTTTACGCTCTGCCGATGTCGGATCTACAGGTACCTGTCAGCAAAAATATTCATTATTATCCGGTACAGTTCACATTGGGAAAAGTTATGAATCAAAATTTAAAACAAATAAGCATTTTTTATACATTCTGATGTAATTTTCTCGAAAACTATGCAGGATAATTTCATGAAAGTCATCACACATTCGTTTCTACACAAGATCTTGATTCCTGCCAGAATTGCCAGAATCGGTCCATAATTTCATATACCTCCCATACAAAAGTATATACTCCCGGAAAATTAGTTTTTTGTTAATAACTTCCGTCAGAATGCTGATATCTTCACGTAAAATCTTATGTCAATAGAATTCATTGAGAGAAAAAATTTTCTGGATCGGTCCATAATTGGTCATAGCTCCCATGCAAGGTTCCCTCCCGAAAATCACTTAAGCGCACATAACTCATTACAAAATATTGATATCCATACATTTAGCACAAATATTGCTCTTATATACATAAATAACACTATAAAACTGTTTTACGATCTGTCCATATTTGGTCATAGCTTTCATACTAGGTCCCCTCCAGAAAATCACTTAAATGCACAATACTCACTACTAAATTATGATATAGATACAGAATTTTGAAATTTTGTCTTTATATACATAATTGGTCATAGCTCCCATACAAGGTTCTTTTACGAAAATCTCTTAAACGCGCATTACTCATTACCAAATAAAGCTTTTGACACAAAATTTGGCACATATATTAGTTTGGTATACAAAAATTCTATTTCAAGATTTTTCCACGATCTGTCCATAACATGGGTGCGGCCGGTCCTATGCAAGGTTCCCTTCAGAAAATCACTTGAACATACATTACTTATTACTAAATTACGATATAGATACAAAATTTGACAGAAATATAGCTTTATGTACAGAAATTTTGCTTAAAGAATTTTTTACGATCGGTCTATAATTGTTCATATCTCCCATACTTGGCCCTGCCCCTAAAAG